ACTCACAATATGGAAAACATTGAACCATGTAAAACAATAAATGTGTTCAAAGGAAGAAAACTTTACTACATTTTATGGCAGGGACGAACTTTAAGTAAAATAAGCTAAATAAAACACACCAGTCATAAAGGAACAGCCATGGTATAATTTCCCTTACTGAGCTTCCAAGGATCAACAAACTTGTAGAGCCCAAATGTAGGATGATTCCAGAGACTGGGATAGAGAGGAACAGGAGCTGCCTATTCAATGATTAAACAGCTTCACGGATGGAAGATGAAAAGTGTTGTAGATGGATGGATGGAATGGCCTCACAACAGTGTGGCCCAGGGTTTTATCAATGAACTGTACACATAAGAATGGCTAATGTAACCACACACAGTCTGAAACACAACTAGTCTCCCTGGACTTGGGAAATTCAAGAAAGATTAGTTGCCAGCCTAGGCTACATAAGAAGATGAAGAGCTTGCTGGAGGTGTGTGGGGGAGTGTAGTGGAGGAGATGGGAGGGCTGGGATGGTAGGGGAAAAGCAAAGGAGGAGGCAACAATGCTTAATAAGAAATGTACTCATTACCTTGCTCATGTAAGTGTAACCCCTCTGTATGGGATTTTCACAATATATAAACTTATTTAACAAAAAAGAGTTTGCTGCACTACATAGCAAGACCTGTCATCAAAAGGAACATGGAAAAATCAAATTTTGGATTCTGTGAAGACATATGGGTAACAAACATAGCTATTTTACCTACTAAAATAACAAACAAACTGAAAGTGTTTGAACACATGCTAAAACAGAAAATAGTTAGAAATACACACTACAAATAGCATTAATAACAAACATACATGGACAAAAAATACAAATTATTATAATCTGTGCATCTTGCTTGTAGTTTTTGCAGATGTTTTCACTGTTGCTCAAATGTGTCACATATTACTGAATCATTTCTCCCACTAGATTCCAAAGGATACATTGCCACACATACTATTTAGTAGTTAATCCTGAGATTAAAGTTTACTACTTAGCAAATGTATGTCAGATTTTGCCATTAGTGATATTTCAAATATGAAAACCATAGTCACTCTATTGTTTATTTTCACAACCAGCTTCTATCTTATACTGTCAGTGAATGCAAACATTCAAACAGAGCGAGAAGAAAAAAGAAAACTGCAGGAACCACATCAAATGAGGCTAAATCAGAGAAAGATAATAGAATCTGGAAACAAATTATTTTTTGTTTAGCAACAATTTTCCTGTATATTGAGTAAGAAAAATGTCAATTCTAAGAGCCATGTCACCAAAAGAAAACTGAGCAGTAAGAAAAACTATTTCCCAGATAAACCATTTCAAGAAAAGAAAAATTAAGAGACAAATGGAGGAAAGAGAAGCTGAGAGAATGAAAGAGAAAAAGAGAGAGAGAAATAGACAATGAGAGAGAAAGAGAGAAATAAAGCTAGTGAAGCCACATGGTGGTGCCTCATGCCTGTAATCCTAGCTACTAAGGAGGCTGAGATCTGAGCATAGAGGTTCAAAGCCAGACCAGGCAGGACCATCTGTGAGACTCTTATATCCAATTAACCACTAGAAAACTGGAAGTGGTGTTGTGGCACCAGCGGTAGAGTACTAGCCTTGAGCTTAAGTATAGTGCCTAGGCCCAGGGTTCCAGACCTACAACTGAAAAGAAAGAAACAAGGAAAGAAGGAAAGAAAAAAGAAAGAAAGGAAGGAAGGAAGGAAGGAAGGAAAGAAGGAAGGAAGGAAGGAAGGAAGGAAGGAAGGAAGGAAGGAAGGAAGGAAGGAAGGAAGGAAGGAAGGAAGGAAGGAAGGAAGGAAGGAAGAAAGGAAGAAAGAAAAAGAAAGAAAGAAAGAAAGAAAGAAAGAAAGAAAGAAAGAAAGAAAGAAAGAAAGAAAGAAAGAAAGAAAGAAAGAAAGAAAGAAAGAAAGAAAGAAAGAAAGAAAGAAAGAAAGAAAGAAAGAAAGAAAGAAAGAAAGAAAGAAAGAAAGAAAGAAAGAAAGAAAGAAAGAAAGAAAGAAAGAAAGAAAGAAAGAAAGGATGGTAAAGGGAGAAACAAAGAAGAAGCAACAATGCTTGATAAGAAATGTACTCACTATCTTGCCCATGTAATTGTAACCTCTCTGTATGGCATTTTCACAATAAAAAAAATGTAATGCAAAAGAAAGTAAGAAAGCTAATGAGCTTGAAAAAGAATGAATTGGGAAAATAGGTAAGAGAAGTCCTATGAGAGCACCATAGAGAAAAACAGAGATTTCTATAAATACCATCAAACTCAGCCTAAGTTTCAAGTAAAAAAAAGACCACAAAGCAGTCCAAGAGTATTTACAGAGATTAATTGAAGTACTTATAGCTCACTCAGTCCTGTAGAATACTTGAAGTTATATTGGACCACACTATTTCAGCAAATCCAGTAAAATTTCATTAGGATAGTTTAATATTACATATGAGGATGTGACGTCTGAGCAGTTGCTAGCCATCCTTCACCTTGTATGAGAAGTCACCTCCTAGGTGTCACTGAATCACATAACAAATGGGAAAACTTTTTCTCACATTAAAAAACTAGCAACAAACTGAAGCATATCTGCCCTATAACTTAGAATGTCAGATTTTATAATCTGCTAAATCTCCAAGCCATCTTTAGCTTTTTTAGAAATATGTTCCGAAGCTGAATTCTTTTTTTCTCTTCTTCAATCTTGGACACCCATAGGTTCATAAAATGGAATGTCAATCAAAGTGAAAAATAAAAAAATCTCACTAGAGATCCTTTCATTCTTTCTTGCTGTTGACAATGAATAAAGATTCTGGAACCATGGCTAGGAGCGAAGGCAAATAAGGGAGTCAGAAAAGAACCTGTTTGATTTTACCCTAGATGTTCCTGCTCAAAACATGACATGTGGGCTGGAAAAGCATAAAGCCTTCATATGGGAGAAGAATCATTCCTGTCTCAAGTAGAGCATTAAAGTCTCCACTACAGAGAAATCCACGGTCCATTAGAACGTAAATCGACAGTATGAAAGCAATTCATATCTAGGTTAATATACATATAGATCACATAAGAACTAACGCTCCTACAAAATATTGTTGAAAAATTGAACCCAAAAAAGGAAAACATGCCACCTGTTCAGTAAAAGTAATTTTCACTGAAATACACTTAGGGATATATAAACTAATTTTCTATTAATGTAAAGATATCTTAGGACTGCATTCAGCATTTGTACTCTACCTCATTAATTTACATATTCAAACACATGTATGTTATGAACAGTATTTTCACACAAATTTATAGAGATAAAATGTATACAACACATATTTTTGTTTTATAATATTTCAATAATGGTTGTCAAATGGCACATTTCCCTTTATCCAAATACTTAGCATACCCTTGTACAATGACTTTCAATTTGAGTTTGAACCTGCTTTGGTCAAAGGGACATCAGTAATGATGATATAAACACAGATTGAGAAGTCCCTCACTTTCCTAAGTAGTCATATTAAGAACTGTGTCCATTCTGCTGGAGATACAGGGCCTCATAAAGATGCAACATAAAATACTGGTCAGGGGAGTGACAAAATCCCAATCAACCACCCCCAGCCAAGGCACCAGAAGATTAAAATCTTATGTGTTACCACACAATATTAACAGAAAATACACCCCAAAATGTAGATCCATCAAAATTAAAACCAACAAATTATATCCCTATGTGCTTTTGCTTGTACTTGTTGGTTGATTACACAGGATATTCTATTATCGAGAGGACTGGTGTAGTTTTTACAATTACCTAGAATGGTAACTGTTAATATAAAATACATAACCTTTACACTGACATATACAAAAAGAGAAAATCTATTCTATATACATCATTGAGGTTGTTTTTGCTCAGAAAGACAATATGAATCCTTTAAAAGCAATACTTGCACATTACTACTGGGTTTTTCTGTAACAAGAATGTTTTCTTACTTTGAAAAATGTAAAAGAATTTATTATAGACTAAGTGTTCACATTCACAATACTTAAGATCAAGAGCGTTACCGATTTCAAGGTGGGGGCATTTTCTGTGTGCTTTGGGATTTGGACTGTCCTCATACACATTAGTGACTGAACATCCTGCCTTAAAAATTTCAAGTTTCTATTTCATATTATTTCATTATAATATAATCTGAATTTAAGAAAGAGCATTGTAACTGGGCTATCATGTCTAATAGCTGTAATCTTAGGTATTCAGAAGGCTGAGATCTGAGGAAAGTTAGTATTATCCTCACCTTTAGTCCTCAGCTCCACCCAGACCTGAGCTCCTCCCAGACCTAGAGTTCCCTCCATATAGCTGGCCACTCCCTCTCTCATCTCAGACTCACCCGAGCTTTTACTTAACTCACTTCCTTATGACTCTTGTCTTTATCACCAAAGAAAGTGGAAGTGCAGCTATGGCTCAAGTGGTAGAGCAATGTTAGCCTTGAGAAGAAATGATTTAGGAAAGTGTTGCTGGGCACTGGTGTCTCAGGCCTCTAATCCTACCTTCTCTGCAGACTGAGATCTGAGGATCATGGTTCAAAGCCAGAGTGGGCAAGAAAAGTTTGGGAGACTCATCTCCAATAAACCACTCAGAAAACCCGAATTGGTGAGGTGGCTCAAGTAGTAGAGCACTACCCTTGAGCTGAAGAGCTCATGGACAGTGTTCAGGCCCAGAGTTCAAGACCAAGCCCAATTAAAAAACGTAAAGTGCCTAGTCTCTGAGTTCAAGCTGTAAGACTTGTTGTATCCTGTTTGGTTTCTCTGATGCAAAATGAGTTATCTTCCAGGTGAGACTTCCCACATTTATTACATTCCTAAGGTTTCTCACGTGTGTGAATCCTCACATGTGAGTGGAGGTGTTAATTCAGAGTGAAGGACTTACCCATTTCTTACATTCATAAGGTTTCTCTACTGTGTGTTTTCTCTGATGCAAAGTAAGCTGTGATTACAATCTGATGGGACTTCCACATTTGTTACATTCATAAGGTTTCTCTCCAGTGTGAATTCTCTTATGTGTGTTGCAATCTGAATTCCAGGAGAAGGACTTTCAACATTTGTTACATTCATAAGGTTTCTCACCTGTGTGAATTCTATTATGGCTGGAAAGCTGTGACCTCTGCTTAAAGGATTTTCCACATTTGTTGCAATCACAAAGTTTCTCTCCTCTATGTGTTCTCTGATGAAAAGAAAGTTCTGCCTTCCAGTTGAAAGACTTTCTACATTCGTGATACTCCTATGTATGTTCTCTGATGAACATGAAGGTTTAACTTAGTGGTTGAAAGACTTTCCACATTTGTTACATTCATGAGGTTTCTCTCCTGTGTGCTATCTGATGCAAAGTAAGTTCTACATTTCTTGCATTCATAACGTTTCTCTTCTGTGTGAATTCTGTTGTGCCTGCTGAGAACTGACTTCTACGTGGAAATTTTCCTACATTCCTCATACATATAGGGTTTCTCTACTGTGGGTGCTTATGGTAGGAATGTCACTTCTGTTTTCTCAGACATAGATTTTGGACAGTGCTTATGCTCATCAAGCTTCTTCTGTGGATACATGCCCTGAGGTATTGTTAGGTGTATTTCCTTACTGAAAGATTTTGCACATTCAGTAAAAGTATAAGGATTCTCTCCTTTGTACATTTTTTGATGTGAACTGACTGTGGACCTTAAGTGGACTGATTTTGCACATACAATACATTCAGGTGTTTTCCTCCCTCCCTCAAGTATTTCTTGGGCAAGGACATCAGAATTACCATACTCTTCTCTATATTCATTATGCTTACTGGAGTGTCCTCCAATACTGTCTAAAAAATATGGTCTCTTATTGTACTACCTTCTCTTCTCTACCATATTCAAATGTTGCAGCTCATTTGGACTTTCATAATTTTGCATAAAAATGCTCAGAATAACTGTGGGGTTCTTCAACTTCAGTAGACACCCCGGGCATGCATCTCATCAGGTTCATTGAAATCCTCAGTTCTCATCCTTCAGGGTTCCCATTAGTCCTCGTCTGCTCTGCCTTACATTTTGAGCTCAAAATTAAATGTGTTCCTAATCACACTCTTCCCTCAACTGTATCATTAGTTGTGACTGCTATTTTACACAGAGATTCATCCTGGAAAGACTTAATCACAACATCTATGTTTTTGGACCTCTAAAATGAGTCATAAGAAAAAATACAAAAACTTAATTGATATCCAAAAACTCTTTATTGTGAAGGTAGCACATTATCTTTTAAAATTTAAGATTTTAAAATATCAAAGTAGGAATGGATTTATGAGAACTGTATGCCTTTCTCCCTAAGATTTTATGAAAGTAATACTGATATTTTACAATTGAAAATAATATTTTTCTGTGTTTAAGTTTTTCTTTCTTAGTCAATTCACACTTTAAAAAATGCAGATTATGGGTATTTTCAGGAAAGGTAATTAATTAATAACACATCTCCATCTGCAGACTGTTACAAGAAATTATCCTGCTTCAAGACAATAAGAAAGATGTCAACGTGAAAATACACCTGAAAATTGCAAATGTTTAGGTAATATAAAGGAATGTATAGAACATATATTTTATGTAAGTTGTCTAAAATGATTTGTGAAGGGAGAACACAGCACCATATTCATGATTCATAAAGCATGAAGATTCAATATATAAATATATAGGTGTAATTAAACCAAAGTATGCAGATTAGTAATATGGATCAATTAATACTGAACTTGCTGACGAATTTGAGGACCTGTGTTCAAAGAATACCAACAAAAAATTAAAAAGTGTAATTGATTCAGATTTTAAATGGAATTATCTCATTGAAAAGTAACTATAGAGGGGGGACCAAGATGGCGACGGGGCAGTAGGGAAACGCCACAGCTCTCTCCAACCAAAAAGAGAGTTCGAGTTCCAACCTTTAATCTCCCCAAGAGACTGACAACAACAAAAAGACGAACACTCAGAGAAAAACCAGAGGTGGAAAATAACAAAAAAAAGAAAGAGAGGAAAAGAAGAATTTCAGAACAGAGAAGAGCGAAGACCCCTCCCCCAACCTTTACTGGCCGCGCGGCAGTGCGCCAAGCCGCCGGCCAGCCGGCCGGGCGGGGGCTGCCGGAGCCACAGAGACACAGGGGGCTGCTTGCAGATCACCAGGTACCGGATTGCAGAACAGCGGATCGCCAGGAACAGAGAAACCTACCAGCCGGAGTCTCCAGGAGGATCCCACCCCACCCATCACTCTCCACCGGAGCGGAGAGGCTCCATCCCGCCAAAGCTGCCCGGCACCAGCAGCGCCACAAAGGGACCTGTCCGCAGACCACCCGCCCAATCGCGATCGCAACGACCCGGCTGGGGGCCGCCCAACCCAGCGCGCAACCACCCCAACTGAACTCGGACTGCAACAACAACTGACGGACTGCAACAACAACTGACGACCTACAGGGTGAGTACCCATCAGGGGACAGGGAATCCATCAAGGGAGACCAGAGCTGGAGGGAATCCCCAGACCCTGACCTAGACTCCCTACCCCAACACCCGGACCACAGGACCCACTAAAACTGGGAACTGTTCGAGAGCTCCACCAGCCGGTGGAGCACACTCTGCTGGCCAGGCCAGAGCAAGAGCGCCCCTGGAAGGGAGCTTAAATGCTCAAGCCAGGAACAGTGCCCCTGGGTCAAGACTACCAACAGTAGAAGAAATTTGAACTGTGTCCTCCAGGCTGCATAACCAAGGTGGATACACATTAGCACAGGCCTAACGAGCGCGCTCCAGGCTGGGGCCGGAACCAGGCCAGGGGACCGGCGCCTGAACAAAGCAAAAAGGGTCAGAAGTGGGGCTGTGGCTCAAATGGTAGGGTGCCAGCCCTGAGCTGAAGAGCTGAGGGACAGCACCCAAACCTAGAGTTCAAGCCCACAACCAGCCCAAAACAAACAAACAAAAACACATCAGGAGCCCATAGCAGACTCCAGTATTTGGGAGAGTGCATCCAGAGCATCTGATCTTCCCAAGAGCACCCGCAGGAGCAAACACAAGCAGTCTAGGCTGCTCAACCCTTCCAAAGGCGGGAATTGCTACAGCAGAGAGCTGAGAATCCTAAGTGAATAGCAGCTGGAAATAGGCTCCCAACAGAATCCAGATCAGGCACAGACTCTCTCTACCAATACAGAATCAGCAACCAAGCAAAGACAGACACACCAAAACAAGATTGAAGAGCAGTCTCCTGAGCCCCCATGCGAAAATCACAGAGAAAAATCACAAGGTTTACCACTACCCAGGACAGCAAGCTCACCTCAAAAGCCAGCAGCCACGCAGGGGAGAGCCCCAGTGGGAGCAAAGCAGGAATGGAAGACAAAAACTACATCCAAGGGTTGCTGGAGGCAATGACTCAAGAAATAAAGCGAGAAATGGATCAGAAATTGAAAGAGCACAAGGATGAACTATCAAAAGATATACAGGATATCAAACAAAAATTGGATGCAAAAATAGAAGCTGCACAAACCTCAGTAAGAAGTGAGATAAACGCCAAATTAGAGGTAATGCATACTGATCTCACCTCATTGAGAGGTGAGATCAGTACTCTGAGAACCAACATTGAATCCATAAAGGGATCCATTTCCTCCATGCAAACCACAATAGAAGCCACGGTCAACAGAGTGAATGAAATGGAAGGTAGAGTGTCAGATACAGAAGACAGAATACACCAACTGGACCAAAAAGTGACAGATATGGAAAAATCACTCAAATTAAACCAAAGGGAAATTCAAGAGCAAGCAGATAATGCTAAAAAATTTAACCTTCGCATAATCGGAGTGGACGAAGGTGAGGAATTCCAGAGCAAGGGAATGCAACACCTATTTAACAAGATAGTCAATGAAAATTTTCCCCACCTCAAAAACGACCATCTTAACTACATCACAAAAGCTTATCGAACACCCAACAAGCAAGATCCCAGGAGAAACACCTCTAGGCACATAATAGTAACAATGATGGATCTGAATAATAAGGAAACAATCCTGCATGCAGCAAAAATGAAGAAGGAGCTATACTACAACGGGAAAAAAATTAGAATCACTGCAGATCTCTCCACACAAACAATGAATGCAAGAAAAGCCTGGGAAAGCACCATACGAGCCCTGAGAGCCAATAACTGCCAACCCAGACTGATGTACCCGGCAAAGCTAGCATTCACATTCGATGGAGAACTGAAAACTTTTAATAGCAAAGAAAAACTAAATGAATACATAAACATTAAGCCAGCATTACAAAGAATTCCAAGAGGGGGGACACAACCTGAAGAAAGCAACCAGGAACTGGGACCTGCCCCAAACAGGCATTACTCAAAGTCTAACTGAGCAAGCACAGGAGGAAAGGAAAGAAGAAAAACTTAGGAAAACGGAATGGCAGGGACCACAATGCATCTCTCTATACTTTCTCTTAATATAAATGGGCTGAATTCGCCAATTAAAAGAAAACGAACTGAGGACTGGATCAGAAAACAAGACCCATCCATCTGTTGCCTTCAGGAGACCCACCTCTCAGCCAAACATACAAACAAACTCAGAGTGAAGGGGTGGAAAAGGATCTACCAATCAAATTCCCCCAATAAGAAAGCAGGTGTAGCTATCCTGATATCTGACAAAATAAACTTTTCATTAAAATCAGTACAGAAAGACAAGGACGGACACTACATATTAATAAAGGGAACAATCCAAGAGGAGGATATAACCATCATCAACTTATATGCCCCAAATATTGGTGCACCCAGATATGTTAAACAAATGCTCTCAAACTTACAGAATAAAATAGATCCCAATACAATAATACTAGGAGACTTTAACACGCCACTCTCACCAAAGGACAGGTCTACCAACCAGAGGATTGGCAAAGAAGCTACCGAATTAAGTGAGGCCATACTTCAAGCGGAATTAACTGACATCTACCGAGTATTTCACCCTAAAACAACACAGTACACATTCTTCTCAGCAGCTCATGGAACTTTCTCCAAAATAGACTATATCATAGTTCATTCAAGGAACTTAAGCAAATACAAAGGGATCGACATAATCCCCTGTATCCTATCTGACCACAATGGAATCAAGCTAGCTCTCAATAACAAAGCATACCGCAGAAATTTCTCTAATACATGGAAATTGAACAGCACACTCCTTAACAAGGCCTGGGTAACAGAAGAGATCAGAGAAGAAATAAAGCATTTCCTAGAACTCAATGAAAATGAAAACACCTCACAAAGAAACTTGTGGGACACAGCAAAAGCAGTCCTGAGGGGCAAATTTATTGCCCTCAGTGCCCACATCAAGAGAATGGAGACAGACCAAGTAAATAATCTCATGTTGCAACTAAAACAGCTAGAAAAACAAGAAAAAATGGGACCTAAAGCTACTAGACGAAGCCAGATAACCAAATTGAGAGCAGAGATTAACCAATTAGAAAATCAGAAAACCATAACCAAAATAAACCAAACAAAAAGCTGGTTCTTTGAAAAAATAAACAAAATTGATGGCCCGTTGGCAAGATTAATTAAAAAAAGAAGAGAGGAAACCCATATTAATAGGATTAGGGATGCCACGGGAAACATCACAACACGTACCCAAGATATCCAAACAATTCTAACAGACTACTTTCAAAAGCTATACTCTCTAAAGGAAG